AATGTTCTACAAGTGCACAGGAGTCGTAGTTGCGCAACTCTGTGGATATTATATATACTCACTGCCACTCCCTGCATACCTTAAAAGGACGGATTTTCTGATATGTGAATTATACCTCAACAAAGCCGTTACATTAAAATAAAACAAACAAACAACCCTCTCCCGTCACAATGTATTTAGGGCCAGAAGACTCATGTAAGACGAGGCTGAGATGGAAACTCAGGCCTTCCGCCTCCTCTCCCCGCGGTCTTCCCACCACTCAGTCCCCCGCCACTGCGACCCACAGGCACTCACCTGCTCCCTCAGCCCCCAGAAACAGTAACAGGGACACAGGCAGCAGAAAATCACTTTACTGAGGTTCCACCGCTGGGGCCCAATAAAGTTAGAGGCAAACTCCAGCCCCAGAACTGCTGCTTCCGTCTTGGCTTTGTCCAGGCCAGCAGTCTCCTCACACATGACAGCAATGCAAATAGGAAATTTAAATGCTCTCACATTGTCTCTGAGCTAAAACAAATGTTTCTTCTGGCCTTTAATGTATTCTTAGAGATCATGGCATCGTGACTTAGGAACTTTTTACTTTCTTATCATTTAAACCATATTGCTTTCATTTTTTTCCTCTTACTGCTGAACAGTGAAAATTCCTTTCTTACAAAATATGGCTGTCATTGCAGTGTCCCTTAGACAGGCTAACTTTCAGAGCCACCATATACCCCATCTTTGCTTTTCAACTACTAATCCTCAGTCAGAAAGGAGAAAACAAGATAATCCCTTATTTAAACGATCAATGCAAGAGAATTAGTACAGAGTAGCAGACAACTCTCAGCTCCATCATTCAGAGCTTGCAGAGTTTTTAAAATTATATTTCAGAAAAATAAGTACTTTAGTATTTTAACAGCAATTCTCTGCCTGGCTGAGGCTCTGGCATCCTACCTGCTGTCGAGTCTCACTGCGCGCCAGGCACTGCGCAGGCCTATGCTCCGCAGTATGTTTTCTCATTACAGTCTCATTACAATTCTCCTGCCAGCTCAGGAGACTTCCAGTCTGGGCAGGGAGCAAGAGTAGAAAAAAGGGTGGTTGCCTAGGGACTGGGTGAGTGGTGCCTTCCTTTTGGTTTGTTATAGTGCCTGAAACTCCATCATTAGGTTTTGAAGGCTCTTCTGTCTGGTTTTAGAAAGTGGATCTTCCTCAAAATGTAATCAAACCTGACCTCAGTCTCATAGATCCTGGGAACTCAGCCTAAAAAGAAGAGAACCCAAGGCTGAATCCTGCAGCTTGGCCCCAAAGGCCATCCTTATGTGAGGATCACCGGTCATACTCTTGTTTCCTAGAAGACCCAGGCAAGTCTGCATTCTACAAGGTCAGGGTGGCTTTCGGAGTCCCCGTTTTCCTGGCTAGTTCATCTCCTGCCTGCTAGTTCACTGATAAAAGGCCACTGATGAAAGATTTTTAAACATTCTGTCCACCCCTTACTAAGGAATAAAATGTTTCTGTGATTTGCCCGATATCACAGAGTAAGTGGTAGAACCAGGATTGGACTTGAACCCTCACAAAGTTGGTGTTCTTAATTACTACCCACTATTTTTGCCACCATGGTAATCCATTTCCAAGCAGAGTTTAGGAAGGTACACAAGAATGTTTTGGGTACCCCCAATTACTTACTTGACTTTTTGAATACTATCTCCCTAATGCCTTCTCAAACCTGACTTTCAGATGCTTTATCTGTGCCAGGTCTAAAAATGAGTAAGTTGCTGGCTTTCCCTGAATGCCTTCAGTTTAATAGAAACCAACAGTTTAAACTAAACAATGAAGATTTAGCCTTAGACTTTCAGGCACTATGGAGGATGGGGGCAAGTCCTAAATATGACTAAGTGGATTCAGAAGAAACATCTTAAGCGTGGAAAATATCGAAGACACTTCAACAAGCTAAACATGTTTTTAGCATTGCATTACTATAAATAAAAGTGTGGCTCAAAGAGAATTTTTCCAAGATCCCAGTTTAAATCAGCAAGTGAATGGTTTCAAGTCCCCACAACATAGGCCATTGGATGGAATATTTTATCAAAAATTATGAGAAACAGCATTGCTACGATGCTTCAAAAGGGGAGATGAGAAGGATGGTCGCTCGCCAAAGGCCTTTATTCTTGATTTAAGGAGAGGGGGAAAGCCCTGCTTTTTAAATTCTTCTCAGTCTAGTTTCCTTGACAAACCTGTTTGATGGGCATCAGAGACCTGAAGCAGAGCTTCCAGGGAAAAAGTAGCCATCACTCATGCTTCATTGGATTCCTATGACAGAATGGTCACATTCCGTGGCACCTGGCATAAGCACATCTTTATTAAGCCTTGCTTTAGCATTTCTTAACCGATCACGGACGCTGTGGTCCTTGGTGGCTCCTCTCTGCTGGCACTGTTTGTAGTTATTTGACCTTTTCTCAGTGGATAATCCACACAAAAAGCCCTAATTACTTCCCCAGCTTTGACCAGCCAGCAGTGTGAATAATCGATGACACTCATTTAGGTATTGCACAATCAGACGCTTATGGTGTTTAAAGAACATTTTTCCATTGACCTGCCACAGCTGTAGGACAATTATAAGCAGTAAAGCTGCTGTTGTAATCACAAGATGACCAAGTGACCTTGTGGGTTTAAAGTTGATGACTCGGGCCTTGACTGGGGCATAGTAATCATACAGAACATATTTTGGGAAAGAAGGGAGGCTTCATTGTACGCTAATGTGACATGCTGAGCCCCAAGAGCAATGTTCTGAAATATTGACAGATCGGAACACTCATATTGGCAGGTAAAATTCAGTATTTGTATCCATGGCTTCAGCTACTTCTTTCTATGGTACATAGAGTAGATAAACAATAACAGGAAAAAACAATTGAACTCTAGGCACACCTCTTTCTACACTTTTTCTTAAGGGAAACATGAAAGTGAAATTGAAGAAAGAAGGTTTCTTGTATAAATAAATATACAAAGATTCCTACAATGTTAAAATGTTTTAACATATTCAAATTACAATTAATCGTTACCTACGCTCACATGACACTTTCCCCACAAAGATCTCTATTAAAAAGATATGAAGTCGCCTGGCTGGTTTGGCTCAGTGGTTAGAGTGTCAGCCCTCAGGCTGAAGGGTCTCGGGTTCAATTCCCAGTCAGGGGCATTACCTCATAGGCTTGATCGCAGGCCCCAGTCGGGCATGTGCGGGAGGCAGCCAATCCCTGTGTCTCTCTCCCATCCATGTTTCTCTCTCTGTGTCTCTCCCCCTCCCGTCTACTCTCTCTAAAAAAATCAATGGAAAAAATATCCTCAGGTGAAGATTAACAGCAATGACAAAAAAAGATACCAAGTGGCCCTGGCCAGTGTGGCTCAGTTGGCTGAGCATCATCTTGTGCACCAAAAGGTCCAGTTCCTGGTCAGGGCACATGCCCAGGTCGCAGGTTCGATCCCTGGGCAGGGTGCGTATGGGAGGCAGCCAATCCATGTTTCTCTCTCATGTTGATGTTTCTCTCTCTCTCTCAAAAATCAATTTTTTAAAAAAATAATAAAAAGAGATGAAGTCTGTGGTTCTTTGAAATTCTGATTAGTTATAAAATTACATATAAAGCTGAATTATAAAATAAGTTATAGGAAAATGGAATATTACAACATTTTCAAGAGTGTGCTCCTGGGAACACTGCTCCACTGAAAATCCTTTGGAAACAAGGATTCATCATTTAATAAGTTCAGGAAATGCAGCATTATAATATCCTCTTGGAGATTTACAGTGCACGTTAGCATATCAAAGGTTCTGGAATGTGTTTCTCAAAACAACTTTGGGTAATATTAGTATATAGGTCTTTTTTCCCCTATTACCATCTTATATGAAAACAGAATTTGTAAATATTGGTTCTTGGCTCAGAGTGTCAATGGATAGACTTTCTACTTCACTTTTGAATTCCCTTAAATTTTTCATAAGGTTGTGTACTTATTTATGAAAAGGAACACAAACTAAAATCAGCAAAAACGAGCAAAAACCCCAACTGGCAGGACAATGAAACATTCATGTTCCTGGCAGAAAAAATGAAGGAAAGGAAGTGTCCTAAATTGAGGATATAACAGGAAAGAGTTTGGGAGAGGAAAATGTCCCAGATAAAAGAAAAGGCAGGGGAGGTCAGAAGAATGGCACAGGCCATCCTCTCCTTTCTGAACTGGAAGGCTGTCCTCATTTAATCTGGCAAAAGGAGGCAGACCAGCTCATCAGCATGCGGGGGGTGACCTACTGGCTAAAGACACAGCGAAGAATGGAGAAAAACAGGCCGAGCCCAGCGGCGAAGCCGAGGCAAGTCCCCGAAAAACACGCAAGATGGGAAGATTACACAGTGCATGGCGCGGCCTTGCTGATCCCAGGATAGCGAACGCTTTCGTACTTGGGGTTCCCGGGATATGCAACCCAAGTTTTTTACTGATACTGGAAAAATCTAATTCATAATACTTACAGAGAATGGCTGCTTTTTAAACGTGCCTTCTCGTTTCAGCAGGCAAGGCTGTGCTTGCCCTTAGAGTAAGGCTTGGGTGCTAGTGACCCCTCGTTTATCGCCCTATGGGAAACTGAGACCCCTACTTTTCTGGGTTCTGCAGAATGCTAGGATTAGGGTAGATCTTGCCCTTATTCTGCAGCACGTTTCTTTCAAGGACCCAGTAAGTCCGTGCAACTGGTTCCAGCCTGTAATACATCTGGACATTTTTCCGGCCTTTGGAATCCACTGATTTCCTCCCCACGCATTAATTCCTACATGTTGTCAAACTGTCAAGGACGCGAGGTTCTTACTAAGGTCAGCAGCGACAGGCAGTTAGACACATCGGGGCAGGTGCGGGGAGGCAGCGTCACCGCACTTACCCCTGCAAACCGCTACTAAGGGATTTCTGCGGCGATCCTGAGAAACTCGGGCTTGTCGCTGGAGGGGTGCCAGTGAGCGTGGCAGGGCTCACGGGGGGCCTGTATTAAGAACTCTTACCCGTAGTCCCACATTTCACCTTCGACCCCATCGTGCCTGTATGTGGCCTTTATATAAATGGTAGCATCTAGATCCCATTCCAAACCTAAGCCAGACATTTCTACAAGGATAAACTAAGAAGAAAAAGTTTGAGAAAGCACACACCCAGGAAGTAAAATATATGACTATATGGCTTCATACTGAATCCTTGAATACTAGGAAGTGTGAAATTTTGAGACCTGGGAGATGGGATTTGTCTATATGTAGCCCCTTTTTAATGCTTTGTAGATGAAGAAACTGAGGCACAGAGAAGTTAAATGGCTTGACAAAGATCATAGTATGTAGTAGAGTAGACCATAAAGGGCTCATCTCAATTAAGGGCTTTTGGTTTTCACTATAACACAGTTCTCCTAAAAAAATTCTCTGTTCAATATAGGGTATACAAACATGTTTCACGCATACCAAGACATCTGCAAATATATCAACTAAGCTTTCATGTCATTCTTTTTAGTATAAGAAAATACCAGGTTTACTGTATGTACCAGAGAAACAGAAAAATTCTAAAATAGTTGTAAGTAAGAAACATCATCTGAACCCGATTTGTGGATAATAAAAATTGTTCTTAGCCACAATAATTCAGTTGAGAAAAGATGCTTCATTTATAACATCCAAAGATCCAACCCAGGATCAAAAACAGCAGGACGGTCACCCTGGCTGGGTGGCTCAGTTGGTTGGAGCACCAGCATCTTAAAGATTACCTAGTTCCCTCCTGGACACCAAAAGGTTGTGGGTTTGATCTCTGTTCAGAGCACATACCAAGGTTGCAGGTTCAATCCCCAGTCAGGGAGCATATGGGAGGCAACCAATGGATGCTTCTCTTTCACATCAATGTTTCTCTCTCTCTCTCAAATCAATAAACATATTCTCAGCTAAGGATAAAAAAATGAAAAAAACTAGCAGGGTGGTCATGTTGAAAGTGTTAAAGCATTTGCCCTGCATTTGTGTCTCCTTAGGGTTGCACCATCCAAATCTGCTGGGTATTATTTGGATAATCTGGAGGACACTTAATTTTCTAGTTTCTTCTTTGATTAAACTGCTATATACAAGAGAGCAGCTTCTACAGTCACAGTGAGTTCCTCCATGATTGAGAAACCAATTCAAAGGAATATTTTTAAAACTTACAGCAACTTAGCAACTCATTATTGTTAATATTTTTATTAAGCCATTCAAAGCATTCTTGACATAAACAAAAATGTCCTTTTCATAATCAGTCAGCATATCTGAACGTTAAAGCTTGTTTGATTTTCCGAGAGTTAGTTTGGTTGTTTGCTCTGGGGTATTTGGCCAATTTTATAAAGTTAATAGAGTTTGGGAAAGGAGCTGTAAGAAAGTTTCTGATAATGGAATGAGTTTGTTTACCAAGAATTTCCAAGGAAAGATTTTGGTCAGTCACTTGGGTGTTTTATCTACAAGATGCCAAAAATCTGAATACCACAAATATATTCTTGTACATTAGATAAATGCTAAAAATTGGGTTAGATAAACTCTATCAAAATATTCATAACATTGTTCCTTGTGAAAATGAATTCCAAGTTCCAGTCTAGCTTGCCAGGAACAAATCCCTCTGCTCAGCCTCCTGGCTGAGAATCTACCTCATGACCCAGTAAGGCAGCTCCCTCAGCAAGCGGTAGATATTCTTGAGAGCTAGTAACCTAACTCTGAATTTGAAAATGGGAAGAAAAATCTTTAGCGCGCATATTGCCCTAAGATAATACAAATTGTGACCCAAGAGTACAGTAGTTAGAACCAGGCTGTCCTTGCTCTTTTATTTTTTTTGAATTTTTTTAAATTGATTTTTAGAGAGAGAGAAGAAAGGAGAGAGAAACATTGATTTGTGGCTCCACTTATTTATGCACGTTGGTGAATCAGGATGACGCGCTAACCAACTGAGCTACCTGGCCAGGACCTGATGGCTGGCCTTACTCTTAGGGGTGCATGGCAGCCCTGACTACTCTTCTGAGTCACCCCATAGCTTTCTTGTCCCTCTAACACTCAGGTCTAGGACATCAACCTATTAACTCTATGCTGGGGATGGTTCTAGGGCTGAAAGTTGTCATAGCAGCAGGCAGTTGGGAGCATCTTAAAGATTACCTAGTCCAGCAGTACTCAAATTCCAGTTCATAGCACTATGAGTGTCGTGGTAATTTTTCTTCATAGTACCTCTAGGCCTAAAGCACTAAATAACATCATTATTTATTAAGTAGTTAGGCCCAAACATTTAATAAGTATTTATGTCTTAACAACTTAGAGACTGTTTCGTTAAATACACAAATGAAAAGAAAATCATGTTTTTATTTAATTCTTTAACAGCCACAGTTTCTTCCTAATGAGATGTGACTGTTTGGCACACAAAATTACAATGGGAACACTTTCATTTATCTCCACTCCCACCTCCAAGCCCACTAATGATGGCAGAATTTTAAGACAAACCCACAAGGAAAACAGTGAGAGAGGGGGTGAAGTCACAAAATTTGAGGAGCTAGAAAGCAGATGAATGAGCAACAAAACTCCAAAAAGTGCCCAGCCAGTGTGGCTCAGTGGTTGAGCATCCACCTAAGATCCAGGCGATCGGGGTTCGATTCCCAGTCAGGGCACATGCCCGGGTTGTGGGCTCGATTCCCAGCAGGGGGTGTGCAGGAGGCAGCCCATCAATGACTCTCTCATCATTGATGTTTCTATCTCTCTCTCCCTCTTCCTGAAATCAATAAAAACATTAAAAAAAAAAAGAAAAGAATATTTAATGACTATAGGTGAATTACCAAGAGAAACAGCTACAAATGTTAAAAGTGATTTCCTCCAGAAATTGGGAAGTGGAATTCTGGTGGTGGAAAGGGAAGGACAGACCTGCTCTTTTTCAAAGCAAAGCTTGAAGAACTGTTTAATTTTTAAACTATGTACATGTATGACCTTGATTCAAATAAAAACCAAATGTGAGTTTTAAGCCCCCAAAAAGACAATTTCTCACATAGATTTACTATTGTTTGGCATGCTTTACCAGGTAAGTTTTTTGAATAATGTTTACGAACACACTTGATTTGAGAATTTTAAGCTGTTTGAGAAAAACATAAGGTTAAACTGATTATTTTTAAAGTACTCAAAATTCCTTTACACTGTTCTACTCCATTTAGATAATCACTACTGAGAAGAACTTATCTAAATACTAAGCACTTCACTTGATCACAAAAACTACTTAAAAGATCTAATGGAAGGGTGTTTACATTAGGAGAGATAATATGATAAGATAGTTAATGTAAAAATAAGTATTTTATTAAATAGGCCTTCCAAGAAGGGCATATACTAAGTACTTTTGGGTTCTAGCTTAAAAATATAAGCAAATGTAAAGTGAACACATTAATGTTACAATCATAAAAAATAACACAATGAAAATATTGCTAGTAATTAGACATTCAGTACATCCCAAATATATTTTTCAGGATTCTCTTTCAAAGCCACTCAAACCTGGCACGTATTTTTTAAACGTCCTACCTAGAATTTGTATGAATTGTACACAGGGCTTTTATTTGAGGATTTATTCTGATATTTGACAACCAACTTAAAGCTGGCTTAATTTACCATTTTGTTCCTTAACACACCTACCTCGGGACCCTCTGCTTTTCAGTTTCAACACTCTCCCCCCCAATGATGACCAGTTTGTGGCAACGAGCAGGTTAGCCAGGAAATAGCTTACAAACTATTCCCTTTTACATCCGCTTTCTAAAGAGAGAGAAAAAAATGCTATTTTGCTTAATACTAACTCTATTTTAAAACTGTGCCTTGAATTCATTTAGAAAATAATGTTGAAAAATCAGAGTGGCTAGGAGTCTTTACCTGCGTCCCTAACGAGACTAGAATGGCCTTGCTAAGGAGACTGCAGGGCTGGCCTGCTCTAAGTGAAATGCAGCGATCGCTTCCCGAGCCGTCAGGAGGGCATTACGCGGTTTTATCTGTCCCTGCTCTACTTCTGCTTGACGCGGCTGTTATACGGGAGCTCTACAGAAGGGCGTTTTCTATCATTGCAAAAGCCAGGTAAAACAGTTTAACTCCTACATCAAATTGGGGAATTATGCATGTAAATTTTGCGCTGCTGTCTGTAGATTATGTCTGTAAAAGATAAAAGCATTTTTGTCTTAGAGAGAACACTCCCAATGCCTTCTTTGCCTCACATATAAATTATCTTTCAAGGGACCAGGTGCAATGGGCAAAGAACTGGCTGTCTTCCCAACCCATCTTTGAGTTTTGATTTCTAAATGTACTTGTCAAGAGTTAGGAATCACAGAAATGCAGAATTTAGAGTTTAAAAACACCAAGTCAAGAACTGTTTTCCTGCACCTTTTGCCTTAGGGGAGAGAAAAGGGGAGGGGGTGCCTTTTTTTTTGTTTTTTCATGTCAATTGAAATGAACTTAATTGCTTTTCCTGTGGATCTCTCTGCCTGAACAGGTGGCTGTGAGAGTCTTCTATGTCCCCACTGATCCATATCAGCGTGAACGTAAGAGGAACCTAGAATTTGGAAATCAGGTTAGATATCATCCGGGCAGCTCTCCAGCTTTGGTCCAAATGCAGGAATCGTTTGCGTGATGTGATTAGATTATTAATATCCAGCAGAACACCAGTGAAATAGTGGCCCATTCCTCTCAAATCAGTTTGGTGCCAAACCTTGAAAGTGTCGGTCCACACTTGAGTGGGGCCTTTGGGTAGAGGTGACACTCTGTGAGTATTCCTTCACTGATATAATTGTGACCTCTGAGAGGCCTGCTCCAGAGTACTCTTGGTGGAACAGAAATGTCCTAACCAAGCAGGAAAAGGCTGGCAGGGACACTGGGTGAGGCGCTGCGCAGAAAGAGAAAGTAAAACTGCTCTTCGTCTGGTTTGCACTCTTGCCACCATTACCCCCCCAATCCCGCACCCAGGGTGCTGCACCCCAAGGAGAAGGCGCTTTCAGGTTCCGCTCTACTCAAGGGAGCGCAGTGCGCGCATTTCTCATGGATGAAACT